TTATCACTGAACACAAAATAGTCTGTGTACACTAGTTCTTCAATAAAATGCAGCTAAAAATAGAGTGCGTAATCATTTGAATAAACGAATTTAATACGCAATATTTTTACTAAATATAAGTCATGTCAACGATAATTATTAAGGTTGAACACTGAACGATTGTGTGACCGTAGATCACTATCACTCTCTAATATGAACCTAACATGTGTCCAGAAAATATACTGAAATCAGTAGTGATTTGAATACTTGGTCAGTTATAAAAGGAAAACAAATACGTCAGCCACAGGTATTATTAACATATGGCTCCAACTGGTTGAACTTATTCGAACTAAACATGGGTTTTTATGTAATTGCCAAGTATAATTAAAGGCACTTCTTAACAATTATATTATATTCAAGTACTTATCTATCAATCAGCACTAAGAAACAGCAGTGGTAGATTAGTTAAAATAAAATGTTTGATTTTATATATTTCTTCAATTATTATGAAAGTAGACTCTAAACACCATTCATTTTCACCTATTTGTTTTATTCAAATATTATTTATCCACAATTTTTTGGTACCAAGTATGAATTTATGTTAGCAGTCAAAAAACATACAAAAAACTATTTTCATTCTCCTTAGTCCACATCAAAATTAATTAGTAAATCTACATTCTGCTAAACACAATTGAAAATTGTTTTATTCACCAAAAATCTTAATTCCATGACATAAAATCTTATCATTTTGTAGATAATAAATAAAATGGGTTAAAATTAAATTAATTGACATAACATCTGTTCATTTATAATACTAAGATTACCTTTTTGTAATTATTTGAAATACTCGTATTGTATAGATAAAACAGTAAATTTGACAAATTAGAATTGGATTTCAAACTTCATCATCATCAGAACGACCTTGAATAACTTTAACTAAATGAAACTTGGGGTGGGGTATTTTTTAGAAAAGAGGCAAGAATGAAGGGATGTCAGTGTACAATAACACGTAGAATAACTTACATTATATACAAGAATAAATATGTAGTTTTTCATTATTTTAATATTGAAATATATGTAACTCAATCTGTGATGACCTTGGGTCGACAATTTAATCTAATTTATTATTTCTATATTAAATGTTGCCAGAAAATTATAAACAAGCAACCATTTAAAATGTCGTCGAAAAAAAGTTCAATAATTTTTCATTTTACTCAGATAATTAAACGTGACCGTCAAAATATGAAACAAAATACATGATACCTGATATTATTTAAGATAAAATTTAAATCACGAAGTGATATTAGCTAGACGGCGAATGGAAACCAGGGGGCACTGAATAGCTGTTTAGATCTAACATGAGTCTCCTCAGCAATGCCCATTCACTCCCCAACTATACAGCATAGAATCCAGGACCTTCGGTCTCTCACGTAAAAACTTAACCACTAAACCACGGAATCAATATCCAATGATATTATTGTCTAACTTCAATCAACTCACGATACTGCACAACCGTCTTTTCTTGCCTTCGGTTGATAACTGTCTAACACTCGACAAGTGGAGTTCAAATGTGTCGACTGTCAGCATCCAACTAATAACTTTAAGTATTACTTCTTCCTGCGTAGATAGTGTGTTTACATGATATCAACTAATGATATTGAAAAAATCACGTTTGGTCCTAAAACTGAGTTTTGAGATTACGATGCATGTATCCCAACGATTACTAATGCCGTTACTAAAATCATAACCTGGAACTCATTTTGAAAGTACCCACAGGTTGGAAATTGAAAGACTCAACTGTAATACATATCACTGATTCTCATTTTCAATCATTAGAGATTGTTGCAAAACCACCGTGAAAACAAATCTCATTTTGGTTGACATCTGGGATAATAACGAATCTTCAGATGTGAGGACATACATTAACCAGAAACATTACTACTAGGCTGGTCAGGTCGTTACTGACTTGCTGTCACTCTCACGATTGCATAAATCAGACGGTGCATAATATGAAGTTCATCTCTTCGTGTAGATACAACTTGCCGATGCATGTCAACCAACACGAAACACAGGTCTACTGTTACTCAATAATCCCTCCAAACCTTTAGACAAGACACACCGATCTGTCCAGCCATTTAGTTCAGTTGACAAATTGCAAACTTGTTCAAAATAATTTGACTAAGTGTACAACGCAACTAAAGTAAGGATGATTACTGAAGAATGATCGGTTTGCACACATTGATTCCAAACTTATTCTGCAGCACTCGGTCGACTCAATTCACATAAAATGTCATATCCCAACGAAGAATATATGAATGGTAACTGCCCGGAATTATTTATGGACTATTATTGCATATATTCTAGTTGGGTAACTATTGAGTAACTAGATTATATGTATATTCATGAACCTTTCATTCTACCTATTACCTACTCTTATACGATTTGCCATTCTTAAGTTATTCCCAATTTATTAGTTACAGTATCTCATACTCACAGTTACCTCTGGCCTTGTTATAATTGTTACTTTCTATTTTATGGTATGATTTACTTGTATATAGGCTAGGTATGTCTAAAACGAACTATTCAAACAGTGAAATATGAGATTGCGTTCTGGACTCAAACGGACAGAGCTAGGAGAGAATAATCAATACTCAGAGTTAACTCTACGCTGCTCGTACTGGTTATCGTGTGACTGGTTTGGCACAATGCCTAGGTCGTATAAATTAATGTCCTCATTGGCAATTTACTCACAGAGCATAAGAACATAACAAAATTAACTGCAAGATTTTACAACCAACTAGACAAAATGTAAATTTATAAAGACAAGACGTTTTAATTTTTTGAAAATAATTATTCGCGAAATTCAACAATATACTTTATAATATCAACTTATCTATTGAATTTTCATCAGGTAAATGAAACAAAGTCTTGGCATAATTACCAGTTAGTTATCTCCTTCAAATCTAATCAAAAATTCAGCTATCGTTCAATCTGAAGTGTTAAAGCAACCGAGTTATTTTTTAAAGAAATTTCTACTACTTACAAGTAGTTAATTTAAGCTTCAGAATATTTTCACTAATCGTAAGACAACAAAGGACGATGTAAAAACTGGATATATTATATTCCCTAAATTCAAGACCATCATTTATCCGACCACCTGAGCAAAATTATTCGGAATAAGGACCGAACTTGCAACTTACTGCTTAAAGGTCAAATCGCTTGACCACCAATCCACCGCACGAATAATCTTTTTGTACTCCAATATTTTAACAATGTTGCTGATAATAATTGAAGAACAATGAAATGTTAATAGTGGGATCTAAAGACTTTCTAATGGTGTAATCATAAATTACTATGTATCGAAATCTACCAGGACTAACAAATCCTTTTTATTAACAAAACATGGATTTATTCTAATAATCTAGCAAGTGAATATAATATTTCCATAATAGTATACGAACGGCCAATTTTAGGAACTTCCTGCGGGATGCCATTCAGATATTCATAAACCTAATAATATAATGATCTCCCTATTTTACGTGCATTCGTAGAAATTTCGAGAGTGAAAGTAGAATACTACAATTTGATATTTCACTATCAGAAATATAATTTACCGCTCCGAATGGTTTACAAAACGAATGTACTGTATTACTTCAGAAAGTTAGAAAAAATGATACTGGCGTGAGAACTGCGGAAAAATCCACTATGCAGGTCCATGGCATTGAAATGTATTTCGACTCACCAATTTAAAATTATCATAGGAGAGAATGGAGCGAACCAGGCATCTGGTATTCTTACCATTTCTATATTGTTTTATGTCATTCTGCCATATTCAACAAATCACAATGAGGTTGGTTTAGGAATGAAGAAGTACTGGATTTGAAAATCAAAAGTGAATGCACCTGTGTCATTGTGGACAACTCTGAGACATGTCACCTAGTCTCCAACGACTAATCGTAGTTAAAGACTAATAATTTCGATGATAAACAGTAACTGTTAATATAGCACCCAACAACAGTCAGGGTCTATACAGAAAACTAATTAGTTCCAACGATGTCTTGCATACAAAGTATCTTCTGATCACATTTATTCTATATTATATACAAGAAAATGATTTACTCATTGATTTATTGAGTTTCGTCATATTAATTACTGGAAATTTACAATCACCCACATCTCAGTACTTCGATAGACTGACAATTCTTATTGTTTCAACTATCCCAAACGGAACCTAAGTGGTCAAGCTGAATGCTAATTGACTTTAGTCACCTAACGTGGTTGTGTTTATAAAGGAATATGGCTAATCTCCCTGTTAAAGCATGTTGTAAACTTTAAGATGATACCGGTATCTTCGTTTAAATATCCAGTTTTCATTACTTCTAGAGTTAATTTTTCCAAGCTTTCTGTTTTGGTAACTTGGAAAATTTATAAATTACGGAAATATATATTTGGACTTCGATATTTTATGTTATTTAGATAAGTTTTGATGTAACAATGTGAAAGGAATTCTTCTAGGTGGCATTAATTAAGAGTTGCATAGACCCTCATTATATATAAGGAATTATTGCAAATCAATAGAACATAAATGTAATTTGCCGATAATAATTATCTGCTTACGCCATCGATACAGACCTATCAATGGTGTAGACACTACAAGTTAATATGAACAGACAAAGATTATCGTTTCAGCACTCTAAAATTTAATACGGTTGTCGATCAGTTTGGTGGTAGCAATAACATTCTAAATGCTTTTTTAATTGATTAAATCAACAGATTAATAATAAATAATAACGAAAACAGATGCGTCCCAACATTTAACAAAATAGTGAAAGAGAACTTTATATGCTTTTATAATAACTGATAGTAGTAATGTCTAACACCGTAAAAAGAAAGTGATACCGATTTACACAGTTTTATATCAATATCTAATCAACAGAACTACTGATCAAATCTGTACTTGGATCAATTTTTATTTTAAAATTAAGCCATCTAACTCTTCACATAAAAAAATTGTTAATCAATTATGGAACCATTTGACGAATGACAATTTCACGTTGATATTCAATAAATGCATTATCACATTTAGAAGGTGATACTTCTGTACATTTTTTTCTTCTAGGAAGTTCACATGAATTAGAACAAGTAAAAACGTAAAGCGAACCGAAATCTGGATTTAATTCACCAACTTTATCCAATTTTAAGTGAAACAATATTTGAGGTGTAACCTGCAAAAGCAAGATAAAAGCATTTCCATGTTTTTAACCACAATATTCCCCAAATATAGACTTTATGCAGTAAACAAAACCACGCAAAAGATAAACAAAAAAGATTAATAATATTGCGAATGAAAAAAATTGAATGGAATGGGTCAATGAGTGACTAAAACGTTTGGAAAAACAGTTGTACAAAATAGATGCATTTAATAATCTTTTAATGGCGTTTTTAGTTATTTAATTAAAAACGAAATATGACACTACGATTACCAGTGGTTGGTTGGGATGGATTAGTATATATATATAATCAACTGTGAGCTCGATGACTCAAACAACATTGAAGAGGCTGCAACGCTCTAAAAGATCAAAATCTTCTCTTTTATTAAAATGCAATGCTACAAGTAACCAATTTAAATTTTTCAAACAAGGTGAAAAGTCAAGATTAATTGTTCATAAATCATCAACCGCTAAACATCGTGATTAAAAACAGATTTACAGGTTTTGTAAGGTGTGATTGATTATTGAACCCACTAATGACAGTATTTGACGCCCACCACTTCATTGACTCTCTTTAACTTCGTATGACTATCCCTTATTTATTCATCAATCATAATCTTTTACGTTTGTCATAAAATAAATTAGTTTTGTCGACTTATTTCTCCTATGCTCTAATTACTGTTCGGTATGTTATTTACGTCGCTCTTTTTCCTTGTTTGATAGACTGTATTATTTGTTTTTGCATACTAATGGCAGAGTTTATCAACTTAAATAGCTCACTTGATCTGACTTAAGCTAAGCTAAGACTCTGTGCTTAACAGTCTGAGGATTAGTTTAGAATAGCATCTGTAGGGAATTACTTTCTACAGGTTCAATTAAGATTTCTGCCGTCTCCGAATACTTGTTACATAGCATTGTCATTAAAAGTGTGTAATACCACGAAGACATAAATGACAGAATACATACTATGAGAAGACTACATGTCGCGCGGACAAAGCAAACATGTGTTGTAAAACAGACATTTATAATCCCATTAAAGTTAAAACTTTGTGAAAGATGGGGTAAATCTGCATATGATGCAGCAGTTTTCGTTATACGATGACCGATCATGCTTGTAACACCTCAGATAGGATTTATAATACTAAACATTTACACGAACTTGCAGAATACTCCAGGTATAAGTGCAGACAACAAACATAGTCATACCTGCTTCGGTCTGGGCACCCGGGCAGTATCACGGCCCACACACAAATGATGAACTGTCTATAATTATGGGAACTATTTTTCTTGCTTCGACTAACAATCAAATGATTAAAATTAAAATTATTATTATTATTATTATTATTATTATTATTATTTACTACGTCATTAATCACCCTCTTTTATTCCTACTCTGCCTATACTTATTTTTTCGACTTATACAGCAGCCCGTCTATGGTGGAAATTGGACTCTATCTAAACGTTCTCGAATCACTGCCTGGTTGAAAATTGCATGCTACCACCGAATACGAGAACTGAAGCAGTTTTTCTGAAACCACGTGCACCATTCAAACTGGCTGCCTTCAACGTTCGCACACTTATGCAGGTCGGACAACAGATAGGGCTGGCTATGTCTCTGGAAAGTCTTAATATTGATGTTTGCTGTCTATCCGAGACCCGCATTCAAGACTCTGGCCAAGTACTACAAATTCGACCTCCATCTGTCGCTTCGAAAAGCTTGTTTTACGTGCGCTTATCCGGTAACCCTGTGGCATCTTCGTCTGGTCTTGCTGGCGTTGGTGTCGCACTAAGCGCTAGAGCTGAGGCAGCACTAGTCGATTGGATCCCCATTAACAGTCGGTTATGTGCTGTTAGATTATAGAATTCCATCAAAGTGAGAAGAAATCGGCGTGAGAAACGATGTCTTTTCGTCATCTCCGCCTATGCCCCGACAGATTGCAGCCCGGATGCAATCAAGGATGAATCCTACCACCAGTTAACTGTTCTTCTCCAGAAAGTGCGTTCGACAGATATTGCAGTACTAGCCGGAGACTTGAATGCTCAGGTTGGGCGTCTAGGCACAGAAGAGAGTCGTTTAGGTGGCCGATGGGGACTCGTTGGTCGCAGGTCAGATAACGGGAACCGTCTACTGCAACTTTGCACAGACCACAACCTGTTTCTGGCTAGCGCTAACTTTCGGCACAGTCATCGCCGTATGTGCCACCTGGCGTCCTCCCTCTGCATCTCAAGCCTGGACTCAGATTGATCACAACGCGATCAGCTACCGCTGGCGTGATTTTGTACAAGACTGTGCATCTTTTGGAGTTTCTATCTGGAATCTGATCATACCCTGGTCTGCGCCAATCTTGCCTTACTTTTCAGTGAACAACGAAGTGACCACCATCAAGGGATTGATATTAGCAAGCTGGTTGTAACTTCTGTTGCAAGTAAGTATCGAACCGAGCTAGCCTCTAGACTAGCTACCACTCCACCGAAAAGTATAGATGAGCATTGGTTGCAATTGCATGACGCCATGAAAATGGCAGGTACAGTCAGTTGTGGGTTTGCGAAACGTCCCGCTTTTAAGCACTGGGTTTTTTCTGGTTCCTTACAACTCATTGAAGCCCGTCGGTCCACTCCAGGTGACCGTGAGTTTGACCATAAACGAAGGATGTTACGCAAGGAAATCGGGCAAAGCTTGCGTAAGGACCGAGAAGACTGGTGGTTGAAGCGTGCTAATGAGATGGAAGCAGCAGCTGCATCTGGTAACTACCGGAAGCTCTTCCCACTCATCCGAGCCACTGGCAGCAAGAAGTCTGGTGTGAGTGAAACAATCTGCGAGGATGATGGGATGCCAATCACTAACATCCATCGACATCTTGGACGATGGGCAGAATTTTTCGAAGGGCAGTTCAACTGGCCTGCTGCTCCGGCAACATCGGTCAGACTGTCCTGCCCTCCATGGCCGGTGACGACTGATCCACCAAACGAGGAGGAAATCCGAAAGGAACGCCAACTCTTGAAGCGTTACAAATCACCTGGCCCAGATGACTTACCTCCGGCTCTTTTTAAAGATGGTGGTGACTTTTTGACTAAGGAATTGACGACGTTGTTTACAAAGGTTTGGGAACTAGAGAGTGTACCAACGTCATGGAATGAGTCGATAGTTGTCCCTATCTTTAAAAAGGGTTCACATCATTCCTGTAACAACTATCGGGGGATAATTCTACTTCCGATTGCGTCCAAGCTATTGGTTTCCGTCATATTTCGTAGGTTGTTCAAAACCCGAGAAAGATCGACTCGCGAGGAGCAGGTTGGGTTTCGTTCTGGTCGAGGATGTATTGATCATATCTTCATCCTTCGCCAAATGTTAGAACACCGTCATACATATCTAAGGCCAACAATCGTAATGTTTCTTGACATCAGGGCTGCCTTCGATTCGTTGGATAGCACTGTTCTTTGGGATTGCCTATTGAAGAAGGGTGTACCTGAGAAGTTTAGTAACATCCTAAAAGCCCTATATACAAACACCTCAGGCAGAGTGAGGGCATACAACCACCTCTCTCCATTGTTCCATTCGAGCAGTGGGGTTAGGCAGGGTTGCACAATCTCACCATTCCTCTTCAACTTTGTGATCGATAACATTGTGGAAACAGCTCTAATGGATGTAAGTAATGGCGGTGTGGATCTGTTGCCTGGAGAAAAACTTCTCGACCTTGAGTATGTGGACGATATTGTCTTACTGTGTGATAATACCCAAGCCATGCAATCCGCACTTAATCAGTTGGCAATCAATGTCCGTAGGTACGGTATGTGCAGAGTACTTTTACAAGACTGACAGGACGCTGATCCTGTACTCGCCCTGTATGGTGAGCAGATAGAAGTAGTTGAGAAGTTCGTGTATCTGGGTAGCTGCATAAGTGCTGATGGGGGTGTGAGTGATGAGATCAATACACGTATAGTGAAAACCAGAGCGGCTTATGCCAATCTAGGCCACCTTTGGTGCCTTTGCGATGTCAGTCTGGCTGTAAAAGGTTGGATCTACAACGCGTCGGCGAGAGCAATTTTGCTCTATGCTTCTGAAACCTGGTCTCTCCGAGTTGTTAGACGACTCTCTGTGTTCGATCATCGTTGTCTCCGAAGGATTGCTGACATTCAGTGGCAACACCGTGTCAGTAATGCAGAGGTTCGGCATCGTGTGTTCAGGTACAGAGACGACAATTCAATCGATGTCACCATCTTGAAACACCGACTTCGGTGGCTTGGACATGTTCTCCGAATGTCGTCCCAGAGAATTCCACGTCGTGCATTATTTGCCGACTCTGGGACTGGTTGGAAGAAGCGGAGAGGTGGTCAGTATATGACATGGTGTCGTGGTATGAAAGAAGGATGCAAAGGACTGGCTTGTGTTGGTCCTTTACGACTCCCTGGTTGGGGTCCGAGAGATGGTGCAACACAGTGGCTAGAGACGTTATCAGATATGGCTCAGGATAGAAGCCGGTGGCGATCCTGCTGTAACCTTCTTTTACTTTCTTCATAAAAAGTGGTTGTGTCTTCCTTAACTGAAAGATTTCTTCTGATTGTACCTTTTCGTTCCCTCATTATTATTATTATTATTATTATTACACTACCTTACACCAATCTCTTCGTTATTGTTCTCTTTTTATTTTACACTCCTCACCTTTTTTCCTTCTCTTTAAATTTACATTGTTTTGTGTGGCGCATATATATTTGGCGCACTCCTGTTCCAATATTTATGCGTCCAAATAAATAATAAAAATAAATTGTAAAAATGCTTTACGAATAATAGAAGTGACTCATTTGAATCGTGAGTATGAGTTATTAGGGTACACAAACCATTTACAGAGTAGCATTCTTGAATCCTATGCAAATTTGTCTGTTTCCTGGTACATGTTGAGAAGGACTTTAAAGATACCGAGCTTAAATGTGGTGTACAGTTCAAAAATAGTTGAAAGATTAGATTTATTGGCGTTGACGACTAACTCCTTAAACCAACTTACCAGTAATCGTGAGAATGAGGTTTGATGTATAACACTAGTTCACACTCAACACAGTCTATCACACTGTAATAACTGTCTTAGTAAGCATATCGCACAAATCCTTTGTAAGTGAACCTTGACTAACATTTGGGATTGAAGCATTAATTTTATTGGCATATAATGATCAAATATATTACTGTGCAAATAAATAATTCTAATAATGTCATGGATTACCATACAATTATACGGTGGACAACGTTACATCACTTAAATTTTTCATTTACATACTTTTATGCATAAAACTATATGGTTAGTTTGAAGTCAACTACAATAATTTAAAAACGTAGATCATGGAACGAAATTAACTTCAACTGTTTTTAAAAGTCATACCTGAAATTCGAAAACACGTTCAGAACCGCAAACTTCACATTTTTCAACTTCTACAGGATAGTCACTCAGCCAAATGGGTTTACCACCTCTATGAAATCGTACGACCTAAATAAAAACAAGAGCAAATAAGGAATATATATGGTAGATAGCTATAAACAACACATGACTTGACAATGTCACGAGTTAACACACTTCAAAAAGATAAGAAACTATTAATACCGATTGAAGTGAGAAGCTTAGAAAACAACGAACAGAAATGAGTAAGAATAGATATGGTGGGACAATAATATGCCTACAACTTAGGGAAAGATGAGAAATTGTCACACCAAAAAAACTCCAGAGATTGACCAAAATCTGTAATCATTAATTACGACCACCCAAAAGACGTTAACTGCAAAGTCAGCAACTCGGTACACGGATTAAAGAGACCACTTGACTTCCTGAACTAATGTTGTGTTGTAGTCTAGGGGTTCAAGACATCTTATCAATATATTTTTAGACCATTCATCAAACAGGACTGAACTGGATTGGAGCTGAAAACTCGCAAATTGACAACTTAAACTGATCTATGACTTGCATCTAGTACACTGTGTCTAAAACCAAACTCCACATGCAGCCCCTTTGAAGCTGCTGATGGTTTCTAGGAAGAGGAATTATAACGCCTCACGATGAAAGCCAATCGAGCTTTTCGAATCCGTAAAGAGATTTCATTAGACTCCAGATCATCAAGACTGATGAAACTCCTACAATGAGTGAGGCGGTTGATATATTCAACTGACGCACTCCCTATCATTAATTCGGGAGTAGACGCAGGCTGGTCCTGAAACAACATTCTACTTTTGGAGGAGGAGAATCACAAACCAAATATGCTTACATTGTTGCTTAAGGTGAACGGAAGACTGCATTTAATCAACGTATTCACCAAACAGAACTATGTCATCTAAGTACTCTAAGTCAACAAGTGAATCTCCTGGTAGATCAAACCCTGAAAAGTCAGACGATGAAAGTGTTATCTTTAAAAACACGTCTATGACAAAGTTAAATAAAAATGGAGGAAGCTGACAACCCTACCGAGCACCACTTGAAGTAACCGATCCTAATGATAGTTCACCATAAGCTCTGACTCGACCAGCATTGTCCGAATAGAGAGCCTGTACAAGGTTTACGTACTTGGTTATGCCTTTCGATGGCAGACAATCCCACAGAATTCCATGAACTAACAGAGTCGAAAGCCACCTTAAGGCCAAGAACTACATCTATCATCGGACGTCGAAAAGTGTGTCTACTTTCCAGAACCTGCCGAAACGAGAATATTTGATCTGTACATTTACGTCTAGGTCTGAAACCATCCTAGTTTTTTTTCTGGGGTTTGCTCATTACGAGCTCGAGTTAGACGTCGAAATATCATTGAGGCTGGTATTTCAGACACTAAATTAATTAAACTGATTCCTCTGTGATTGTCGCAAAAGTATTTTAGTCCTTTCTTATAAACTAGGACGGTCAATAATCAAAGCTAGTCTGATGGGATTACATCCAGTTCTCAGTTTTTGGCTAAAGCTTCAGTTAATTTAACTGTTAAAACTGGACAACCACTCTCAAAAATCTCAGAGGTTAGCCCGTCAGACCCTGTTGCTTTTCCACGCTTCAGGTTTCCTGTAACCTTTTCAGCACCATCAAGAGTTAAAAGATGTATGTCCATTCGTCATTTAAAATGCATGAAAATAATGGGTAAGTGAATTGTACTGAAGTCCACTCGAACTATTCCCTAAAGTGTTCTACCTTTCGGTTTAATCTCCTGGATCGCGAGAGAACAATAGCCCAGTCTCTTTCCAAGATAGTTTCACTAACAAGCATATATTTAATACCTGTTTCCTTGATAAGTCTGAACAGTTGCCTACTATTACCTATCGCCGCTACCTTGTCCATATCTTCTGTTTTCGCCACATACCAATGCTCACGATCATTAAGCAGGTTTTTATCAGCGTTCGTTTAAGTTGCCTCTGCACTTTAGCGTACTTGGAGCCAGATGGGATATGTTTCCAACCAGTTCTGTCGACGTCTCTGAAATTCACTGATTTTTTAAACCTTTTGGTTCAAATAGTAGTATACATCACTGTTGTTTCCAAAGCTTTTTGAATATCATACCAAGCTGCCTCGGGGTGGATATCACCTTTACGGTGAACTCTCTCCTCCGTTTGTCCCTGGAAAATATCCTTAACTTCCTCATAATTAGGTGAAATCCAAGGGGTATTTTACGGTAGCATTTCCATGTCCAGTAAGACGTAGATAAATACGCTCTCAAACTAGAACATGACCCAAGTCTAAAAATGTACTCCATAGTAAGCGACAGTCTTCTATCGAGCCCCTTCAATGATGGCTAATGACAATGTGATCTATCTGAGTTAATCGATGAGTCAATTATCAGGGTCTCCACGTCAGCCCGATCGAAGCTGCTACCTTGACGCGGTGGTCGGGCTTGCCTATCGTGATGACCTAACCGAGCTATATTGGCTGGAACATATGTTCCTGCAGGTTCTACCATGCCAGGCAGTTCGATTGGTGAACGGTAAGACCAAAAGCAGCAACTCAAGGTCTGAGGGCGAAGTCGTACTGCTGACTGTAGAGAGGTGTGACAGCAGTAAGGTGCTTCCCTCGGACAACCAGCATGACAGCGATGCTGCCTTCCCACAAGGAGGGGTGGGGTTAGAAAAGGTCGACCCTAAAAATGCACACCTCACCTTACCTCACGGATTTCCGTCTCCGGCGGTAAGGCCCTTTGCAGAACAGAGCTAACACGTCAAAAACCTTCCACAAAAAGGCCGTCCGCGACCGGCCTCAAGCAGTTGTCCCTTGGGCTCTGCGGTCACGCTACCAGGTCGTCAAAACCAATACTAATCCATTTTCCTTTTCAGGTTCCTCAAGAAATATCCTTCTACGGTGTGGGCAGCCGGGAAGTGACATCAGCCCTCATACCCGTAACAGCACAAGAGACCAAGGTGGTCACATTCAAATCCTTCCTACACCTCCTAATACCTCTCTTATCTCCCCGACTAACCCTCCTCACGTCTCTTTATCACCTCGCACCGCTAGGGCAAACGATTCGAGTACGTGGAACGCCATTCCTGGTCTCCTGAAACCACGCTCTAAACTTCATGTTGGAGCTAATAACGTCCAAACACTGTACCAAATAGGACAACAAGCTTCCTTAGCTAGGACTTTAGAATCTCGCGCCATCGATGTGTGCTGCGTCTCCGAAACGCGCATACAGGATCCAAGTAGTGTCATTCATTTGACCTCACCATGCCAAAATAAAGAACCGACTCGATTTACGCTTCATGTATCTGGAAGCCCTGATTCTGCTTCCCGTGGCCTCGCCGGCGTAGGTATAGCATTGAGTCCTAGGGCAGAACTAGCTCTCTTAGAGTGGATCACAGTAGACAGTCGTTTGTGCGCTGTCCGACTGAACGGAACAGTAAGAATCCGGAAAGATAGGGACACTCGTCGTTGCCTCTTCGTCGTCTCTGCCTATTCTCCCACTGACTGCAGCTCAGATGATGTAAAAGATGAGTTTTACAGAAAGCTTTCCGACCTTCTCCGAAAAGCTAAGCGCTCGGATGTAGTAATAGTGGCCGGTGACTTTAATGCTCAAGTAGGTAAACTAAGCGATAGGGAAAGACACCTGGGTGGATCTTATGGTGTCGTGGCTCAAAGAACAGATAATGGCGACCGTCTGTTGCAGCTATGCTCAGATAATCGCCTGTTCCTTGCAAATACTAACTTTAAGCATAAGGAAAAACATCTTTTGACATGGTGACCCCCTAATTCGTCCCAACGTTGGACCCAAATAGATCACATCGCTATCAGCAACCGATGGAGGGGCTCGACAGAAGACTGTCGCTCATTCTGGAGCACATGCCTGGATTCAGATCATGCTCTAGTGCGAGCGCGTACTTGCTTGCGTCTTACTGGACGTAGGAAAGACGCTGCAAGGAAACCTCTTAGGGGCCTACTTAATGATAGTCAAGCTAAGAGTATATTTCAGGAACAACTAGGAAAACAGTTAGGCAGCCATGTATGTGATGCCCACCCCGATGCAGCATGGAATGATATCCGAAAAGCTGTGGAAACAGCAGTGATATCTGCTAGTAAAGTAAACCAGAAGGTTAGGGAGCAACACTGGATCTCAGCAGCATCTATCTCACTGATAAATGCTCGGAAACTCATTCCACCTGGCTCTGAGCATAATGAAGAGCGGAGTCAGCATAAGCGCAAGCTGACAAGAAGTCTACGCAATGATCGCGAACAATGGTGGGTAGCGAAAGCAAGAGAGATGGAAAAGGCAGCGGCAATAGGTAATAGCAGACAATTGTTCAGACTCGTTAAGGAAACCGGAATTAGGAACCCGACCGTTAGCGAAACAATCTCAGAGAAAGATGGACATGTTATTCATTCTCAATCCAGGAGATTGGATCGATGGGCAGAACACTTTAGGGATCAGTTCAACTGGCCTTCAGCCACACTTCGGTTTCCCACGATCTCTAGTCAACCTGAATGGCAAGTTAATGTAGGTCCTCCGTCCCTTTACGAAGTTGAAAAAGCCATAGGAAATCTGAAACGAGGGAGAGCAGCAGGCCCTGACAGGTTTACTCCTGGGATTTTTAAGGATGGTGGTCCAGTATTAGCGATGAGATTAACCGAGGTCTTAGGTAAAATTTAGGAACTGGACGTAATCCCATCTGACTGGTCTCAATCACTGATTGTGCCAGTCTATAAGAAAGGACAAAAGTCCTCTTGTGACAATCACAGAGGAATCAGTTTGACTAATATAGTGTCTAAAATATTAGCTTCAATAATACTTCGACGCCTAATCAAAGCTCGTGAAGAGCAGATTAGAGAAAACCAGGCCGGTTTTCGACCTGGACGTGGTTGTATAGATCAGATATTCACACTACGTCAGGTTCTAGAACACAGACACACGTTCAGACGCCCCACAATGGTAGTATTTCTCGACCTTAAGGCGGCATTCGACTCTATTGATCGTGAGGTTCTATGGCAGTGTTTGTCACTGAAAGGAGTACCAAAGAAGTACATTAACCTTATAAAGGCTCTCTACTCGAACACAACTGGTAGAGTGAGAGTTTATGGCGAACTGTCATCAGAATTGATCACCTCAAGTGGTGTTTGTCAGGCCCGTCCACTCTCCCCATTCTTGTTCAACTTTGTGGTCGACGTACTTTAAGAGAAAACACTCTCCTCATCTAAATTTCCAGGGGTTGAACTTGTACCGGGAGGTTCACTTGTTGACTTATAATATGCTGATGACATAGTTTTATTTGGTGAAGACGCTGACAAAATGCAGAGTCTTCTGACCACTCTAAGCAACAATGCAAGCATGTTCGGCATGCGATTATCTCCCTCGAAATGCAAAATGTTGCTTCAGGATTGGGTTACATCCACACCCGAACTAGTGATAGGGAGTGAAGTAGTTGAGTGTGTCGACCGCTTCACTTATCTTGGAAGTCTCATCAGCCCTTGTGGTTTAGTGTGTGACGAAATCTCAGCACGGATACAGAAGGCTCGACTAGCTTTTGCCAACTTGCGTCGTATATGGCGTAGGCGAGATATCCGTCTATCAACCAAAGGACGTGTTTACTGTGCAGCAGTTCGTTCCGTCCTACTTTATGGCAGTGAGACATGGCCGGTAAAAGTAGAGGATATCCGTAGGTTACTAGTATTTGATCATAGGTGTCTTCGAAACATTGTTCGTATATCCTGGGACCATCGAGTAAGTAACACAGTTGTTAGGAAACGGGTACTAGGTAAGGATGGCAAATCAATTGATGAAGTAGTGAAACTTTATCAGTTGAGATGGCTGGGACATGTGTTACGTATGCCCAACGACCGACTGCCTCGACGTGCGATGTTCAGTGGTATAGGAGTAGGTTGGAAGAAAGCTAGGGGCGGCCAAACCAAAACATGGCACAAGTCCATGAAGTCACTGACAAGTGAACTGAGTCATGTTGGTAGGTGTAGACTACCTGGTTGGGGACCACGAGATGATAGCAACCGATGGTTAGAGATCCTGAATGACATGGCTCAAAATCGTTTGCAATGGCGCAGGTGCATCCACTCTCTGTGTTCTCCCAAATTCTAATCTTCTGAATTCTTCATGTCCCTTTTTTTCCTCTTTCCAAATTTATTTCACTGGATTATACTCTTTAAATAACATCTCCAAACCCTAATCTTCCTGATTACTGCTTATACTCTTATTACCTCTACCACTACGGGATTTGAATCGACAAGTGCATCTCTGTGCTAATGTGGTGTGGCAACTCGAACTGATGTACGTACGTACGAAGTTCTACGTTGCTACTGACTGACTGACTGTCTCCACGTCAGATGATGTTTCTCTTCAAGTTCAAAATTGGTGTTCCCCTAAAATCGACGGTTATACGAGCATAGCTACAGCAGACAGTTTCCATTATCTGTTCGCTGAGTCGAAACACCGTAAGATCCACACTAGCTGCTTCGGTTTTGGCACCCGAGCAGTATCTCAGCCCACACACAAATCAAGTGACTTATGTGGCGCATATATATTCGGTGCTCTTTTTTACCAATATTTATGTGTTCAAGTAAGGTAAAGTCTTATGACTAAGATCCACACATGTGCCTTTCAGTAATGTAATGATTTTTGTAGTGTAGGGATAACTTCAACACTGATTTTTCGGAGTTAACTAAACTGTACTAAACCACAAAGAAAATGTCTAGAACTTTACTGGATATTTTAAAGAGTATCAAGAAAAATAACCTGAGGATTTATGAATCACAAATTAATACTAGGTTGAATCAATTAACGGTACATTAACATAGAATATACATATGTAATTACTTGGTCAGGAGCCGATTTCATTGCTTCTCTAAACATTCTAAATCTGGCTTCTTCTTTAGTCTCTTTCTTGGCTATAAATTCAAGCGCTTTAACTTCAGAATTACTGAAATATTTTAACATTAAACAAACAAATGATTTTTACTAACACCAGAAACAGAAGGATAACGTATAAGATGAAAACGTTATTACATATCACCTGAGTATTTAGCGTGTTTCGTTTTGGTGAAAATGATAAACCACACTTTCATTTTTGTGGCAAGAAAATAAAGCTGTTGTCTTTACTCGAAAATGGCTGAAAGTATTCACAGAAAAGAACATTACTGTAATAAAATTGAAGATAGATATGCTATGAAATAGACAGACCTGCTTGTTGTATGCATCACAGTTGTATAGGATTACTGCTAAGTTGATACATTGATTTGAATATGTGTAAGCCCAACATATATAGGAAGTGCTTGGTAAATTGTATGAGACTGATAAAGTCTCTGAAACGGTACTCAAACTCATGACAATATTCGAAAACCGATACCTAAACGATTGAGTCACAACTTTATAGTGCGATTTAGTGCTGGTTCTAAAGTTATTGACCACTGTATATAAAGTTTCTCCACATTTCCCCTAGTCGCCAATAAATTCATAAAAATATGTAGGTAAATGACATAAATTTAAACCATATGACGATTATTGTGTAAGTATTACTTCGTGAAAAACTGGACAATATCGTGAAACACAAATCAAAATGTTCCCTTCGACATATCTTTATATAACTTGTTTTGTCCTTACATGTTGATATTATTAGCCCTGTTTTTTCCACATTCTTACAACTCGCAATTACTTTTGCAGGAAGTTCTTCATTGCATCATTAGCTGTCTTTCTAACAACAATTAATAAATGCAAGAAAGTACTTTGCTATCAAACCATCTTAAACGCAACATGTTTTGAGTATACAGCGTAAACTATGTCAGTATCACAGATTAATTAATGGAGTATAAATCGTACTAATAATGCTCGACCTAACTTAATACTATTCAATTCACTATTCTAATTCCTCTATGTAAACCAGTCTACCACGTTCTAATCTTAATTTGTTGGATGTTTTATACAATTTTAAGGGCTGTGATTTTAAAATCAGGGTAATGACTGAGAAACCAGTGGTCTTAACAAAGCTTACGTTAGTTTCATTAGGTAGATACTAACACTAAGCGTCTATGAGTGTGATGCGTTGGTATGGTTTATAATGTAATACGTCTATTGTATACAGAGTAGCATATTAATAATAACTTTGAACTGGGGTTAAGTAACACTTATTTGAAACTAATATAGCATGAGTTTCTTTAGGATTTCAGACACAGTTGAAAAGTCAGCACAAAAAAAGGCGAAGTCCATGATTTTTGCCCTAATAACTTCAAACATTTGTCAAACAAGCAAGTACAAAGATTAGTGTCATGTAAAACTGTCACATTTTGATAAAACGATAAAAGTAGTAGATTAAATTATCATCTACATTTGTAAATAACAGAAAGTCACATTACGACTGATTTACTTTGAAAGTCCCAGGTCTACAGTTTCAGTGTCAGTTTCCACCTCTTCTGAAGTACTTTCATCATTTGAAGAAAAGTTGTCTGCAGGTTCAGAACATAAACGGTACTCAGGAAGTAAGAAGCTATTTTGTTCGAATAATAACATGAAATCGTGACATTTCGAACCACATTCTAACTTGTGTCGTTTCCAGTCTAGAACCTAATTCAATAAAAGAAAATATGTTTAATCGGATAAGTAAAACCGCTGTACCTGGTGCATTTTAGAACAATAAGAAGTGGTTTTACACTTTGAACACGTTTTGTCTGCTTTACATCCACATATTGGGCAGATAGATGAATATTTGCCAGCCCATGGAATAGAGTTAGCCTTTATCATCGAGTTTAACATTTCACGACTGGGAAAATCGTTTTCAGGGGGCTCGAAGCTTCGGAATAATAGATGGATTACGACAAAATACATAACTACCTGTAATAGCAATTTTGTCTCGATAACTGCGATCGAAACACATAGAATGGTACATGATCAGGCTTATAATGACATTCACTATTTCGGCACATAAATAAAAATAACATCCGATGAAAACAGTCAGGTTTTTCAGATAGAGGGGAGTATATCTAGGCAGTATAAGTAGTTAGGATGCTGACAATACCTGTAAGAGGAAACACATTGGATTCAAACATACTGGACACTTTAGTTCACTAGGAGATGGTAAGTGTTGAAGAGCTAGCCAGGCTGGTCGCCCGCCAACTTTATCTGGGAATAAATGAGAAACCAAGTGCCAGGGTGCACCCTCGACAGCGAAACCAAGGGCAAGCCCAGATGACATAATATGGTAAAAATGGTACGGCTTCTAACACAAAAGGAGAAAATATTGTATTTAGAATTTATGCCGTAAAGTGATAGTAAAAAATTAGTTGGAGAAATTACATACGAACAACCTTAAAAATCTCTAGGGTAGGTAAATGATGCGTGGGGGGGAGATAATGATTGGTTGTTTGCTTAGTCAGACTAGTGGATAGTCTAACAGGTACTAGATGAGTTATATATTTTCCCACCCTTATTATTATTGTGATTGTTGTCGGTTTTTGGTGTGGGAATATACTTACGCTCTAGTTGGACGAGTCACGTGTTTTTGATCTGAGTTGTGTTCAAGTCCTGTAGAATAGACACTGAGAGGATATCTAGTGTAGATATTCGGCTAAGGTAAATTGGCGTCCCATTCATATGGACGAGAAAACCGAGCGTTACAACGGCAACGTAGATGTATGATTAGAAGTTGTTATATGACTTTATGTGCCGTAAATTCGAAAACCACTGGCAAATCTAGAATTATAAGGGATTTTATTAGTTACAGTTGGAGAAGGTTATCAATAATACACTAAGTAAAAACAAACTAATTAGATTTGTGTACCTTTTTAATGATCAGTTAAGGCACTGTGGGAGGGTGACAAGATTTAAATTCAACTACGTGCATTTTGTCGAAAAGTTCAAAATAACGCTTGATAGTCTTATCCCTGTACAATGTGATGGGTCATGAAGCTATGTTTGCGATTTTATTACAATATAATCGCTGCAAAAACTATGGTAAGGAGTTAAAGCCCACCGCCTAACCAGATTACTCAAAACATCTATTTATAAAGATGGCTTATTTTTAATTTAATTTAAAAAGAAACATTATTACCACCAAATGCAGTGACAAAACCTTTCTATGAACAAATCTCGAAAACAAAAATGTCCAATAATGTTTCATTATCAAAGGACTATGACAGCAGTAGGCGGTGATTACATATTGCGTCTGTTAGCAGAAGTACTAGGTAGTTTTTGGCTAACCAATCCATACATGTTTTTTGATATATGTAAAAAATACTATAACTAACAATATAAGCCTACGGATTTGGCTAGGTGTTATCAGGTAGACATCAACAAAGATCTGGCACACGTGTGCTGGTCCGAAATCACCACACTGCCACAAAGAGAAGGGGAGGAAACTAACAAAAGAAACAGGGAGAAGGATAACGTTAAGAACAGAAACATGTTAAACATGGTTCTAAAGGAACGAATGAAATGTATGGAAATTCACTACACTCCAAATTTAGATAGGCGACAGAGACGGATCGCAATCCATCTTATTAAGGGTCTTCATTAAGAGATTACAAGTATTATGTAGAGCGCAGTAAGGAAGTCTAGAATTTCTGGTTGGTGAAAATTTGGGCCAACAAAACATTTCCAAAACATAGTTAATGATTACATGAACTAAAATAGCTATCACACTCAATCTTAAGTCACTGTAGTACGTTGAAATTATTTTCGCTTCTTAAAAATGCAGTCCTGTACACTATTAGCTCACAGAAGTAATCACATTTTGATAGGGCTTAAGGGAGTATTTTTCAAAAGTTATAGAGGGACGTGCTAGTAAGTCAAACTTTTCATACATCACTACAAAATATGACAAAAGAAGCATCCTATAGCAAGGGCTAAAACAGGGGAATCACAATACATATTACAATTAAATAACATTTTATGGTAAGATATCATGCACTCAGCATCGTCAGTAGATTGGACAATGGAGCCAGAGTCCTCAATCAAAACGGCTTGAAACGTATTTCGAAATTTATACTTAAAAGTTACCGCACCCCAAATCCCTTGGGCTATGCCAAAGGGGCCGAGAAACCACCATGGTTCAGTAGGGAGGTTCGCATACTTCTCCGTAAGAGAAGAAAAATGTGGGAGAGATTTAGGTTACTGGGGACCGATGAAACAAAATCTCAGTATCGAAAAGCTCGGAATACCTTTGCCTCGACCCTCCGTAAGTTTAGAAAGTTGTACGAAGAAAAAATCGTTAAGGAATCCATAGAATGTCCTAAACGTTTGTATTCCTGAAACGTGAGAAGACATAAACCTATGGAGCTTTAGACAGGTCTACAAGGGTAACAAAATACGAAACAGTACCTAGAAACCCTAGAAGGAATAAATGCAAGGTCCAATTCATTTGGTTAGTTGCGACAAAACGTTGTCAGAGGGAGGTGTATATGTTCAGACGCTGCTCCACCACTCTGTAGACATCATAATTAAGAAAAACGCTAGTACTAGGACACGATGAAGAAAGCACTTACTGTTAACTGAGCTCCTAAACATAAAAATAACTCAGAAAGTTAGTAACATCGCTAAATCAACATGTATTGTAACTTATAAGTTGCTTAGAGTCTCTACTTTGCATCGAATGTTGCGACTTTTATGTAAAAATCCATGCTATTTGATTATTACCTCAAATATCTTGATGTCTAATGAAGTATACGGAGATATCTCGAACCATTACCTTGACGTAACTGTTTGAAAAAGTGGTCCGAGCTTCCAATATCCAATATCTTCGTGTCGAGACTGTACAAACAGACTTGTAAATAAACCCGCAAAATTGGTAGCTCTACAAGTCTTCGACGTTTGATGTTGACCACATTCGTTTTGATGGATCCACCTAGATGAAGGAGTCCGGTCACATCCGCACAAAACCACTAGTGAGAACGCCGTTTTCAACTTCTCGAGCGACCGCTAGCCAAATTAGATCAGTCATTTCTCAATATATTGATTACCTATCAAATGTTTTTTCGAATCTCCTCGCTTCTGACTTTTGATTTCACTGGGTGGGCGCGATTCAATTACGGGTGTTACTGAATAAAGTGTTACTGAATAAAGTGTTATGAAACTCCCAATACTTGCGGCGTCTTCAGACGGTATTCTTGTGTTCACCTCCTGTTGTTTGGGGACAGTTCTAGGTCCTAAGTGATGTGTTATATTCGTTATTATAACACTTTATGACCGAGGAGAATTGAATTGGGTAAGATTTAGGGGATAAGCGTTCCTGAATATATGTGGTAAAAATTGCTAGCTTATATATCAGTAATAAACAACCACAATAAGACTAGGTAGACATTACTGAATACAAGTGAAAGTAGCATTGAAATAACACCAGATTATGACCGCTTTGTAATTGGATTGGATTTATATCGACACTGACACTTAGAATTACTATCAACTGTATAGGAATAGAAATAAATCTGACAATATAATGTCTAGGAATTGTGATGTAGTGAAATAAATCCAGAACTGCACTAAACTGGTCTAATCTGAATACTACTTAATAGAATTTAAACTACGTGATGTCAGCTACTCAAAGTGGATCGAATATTTAGACATCTTCATAGTAATATCATGTGATTATCCGATAGATAGATAGATAGATAGACAGACAGATAGACAAATAAATATATATAGGTGGATAGATGCGTAGTGGTAAAGAACTCCCTGAAATATGTAGTTCCGTAGGTTTCCAACAGTGAAGCAGAACTCAAAAATTTTGCTGGACACACTTAGGTGAAGGCGGTTGGTTACACATCCGCACCAGATCACGAGTGGGTGCGCCGTACTACGCATTACTTAAGGCTGCCAGTCAGCTTAGACCAAACGCCTCTCGACATATAGATAGCCTTACAAATAAATTTTTGAACCCCTCTATTTCTGACTTCCGAATTGACTAGCTTCGTATACGTTGATTATGTGGGTGTTACGTGTGAAGGCGTTGTCAAAATACGAATACCTATGGCATACTTAGATAGCCAGATAGATGGATGGATAGTCAACTAAACAGATAGATATTTGGAGTGTTCAGATATAACGCACTCGAATTAATCAAACGACTGCTCGCAAGTTCATCAACAGTGTCGAACTTGTAGCGACACTGAACCCTAATCGAACGACCCATGAAGCCGAGGATATAATTGCTGGATAGAAATATGTTCACCAACTGACAAGAAGAAAAGGCCGACAATGGAGAACGCGTGAACACAAATTCAGTTCGATTGGATGGAATGACTCAGTCTTGCACGCGTGGTCATTCTGTATAACTTGTCTTTACTCACAATAAATATATTATCCTGCATTCAGCTCAAATGTGTTCTTCAGAAGTACTGAGTATCATTTTGTTGTTTGGTACGATATGATGAGTCAGCGTAGACAATGATGTGACTTCCACATGAGAGATTAAATATTAGCTGATAACATGATGACAAATCTAAAATTCGGTATTAGGTTTATTATTAGAGCGGTACTAATAACGAAAGTGGACGTAAATTCTACACCACCTTCAACAAATGTGACCCTGGCCCTCATTAGTCTTCTGGTTAGTATTACTGCAAGATATCAGAACATGTTATGTCAAGATCCTCTTTAGACACTCCAAGTTTTATAGACAAGTGTCAGGTGGCTTTTTCTTGCTTTAATGGAGCATAAAAATAATTCAGGTGTGAAAAGAAATTTTGTTAGCGTGAAACCTCTTCTAATCGATCACACGTTTGTAATGGCTAGTGCCAAAATGCTTGATATCACTATGATGTATCTGAGTACATCCAATGAAGAAGAAAACTGAACTACCGAAAAAAGCGCCCCGAACTGACAGAATTGTGAGGTTTCTGAAATAATATAGATTCTTTATCATGTGGGAGTTAACGAATAACAACTATATTATGATATTTTAGATCACCAACATAGGTGATTTATATCTATGACTGGGGGCCTGCTTGGGTTGGATAGGAATACCATGACCAAACAGTTTACATCAAAATAACACCTCAAAGTTTATACCTCTCATGGATCACTACTCCATCGTATCTAGGAACTATGACTACGCTAATGACTGTACAATACAAAGTTATGCCAAAAATATATTGGTTAGAGTGGGTGAGAGAAGCAGAGTTTAACTCATACCTCATAAGCCAGTTAACTAGAAACAAACCCAACACTAGTTCCTTATTTTAGCAGTCTACTTAGCGACTATTCAGAATAAAACGGGAATTACCAATTTCTCCATCTTTGAAAGCAGTGGTAGTCGGTGTGCCTAGTCTTGTAATTTTCCCTTAGCTTTTTCATGACGCTGCAAAATTTATTCCCTCATCGTGCAGCAATTCGGTAATTTACGTCATACTCTCAATGTCAGCACTAATATTTTTAATCAGTTTTTTTCGCCTTCTGCTGCTACTATTCATGTCGATATATTATTTCCGGCATGCTTACGTGAGTTATTTTATTCCATTTCGTTTTTAGTGTTGCTTTGTATATATTTTCCTTATTATCTAGATATCAGACTCCAGCGTAATCGTTTTTCAAAACTAAAATCAGTATTAGTCTCATCTCATCCGTCGACGAGTAAAAGAAATGCTGAGTGTCCTGGTATGAATACCATTGTTATAAACGAAAATATTATGAGACCCGGGTACCTAACAACCCGGAACCAAGTTGAAAATACTATCGAACAATTGAAAGGGTTTCGTATTTGAAAATTTAGCATTATTAGATCAGTTGTCGCGTGAAAGCAAGTTGAACGATAGAAAGTTAGAAATTCGCAGTCAGTGAGCTTGTAGAACTATGGTCTACTATGATATTAGTACTGCTCTAATAATAGACCTAATCCTAAACTTGTCGATTTGTCATGATATAACTGCCTAATCTATAAGATCTTACGTGGAAGTCACACCATCGACTACACCAACTCACTGTGTCGTATCAATTACCAATACATGATGTAGAACAAGGTTAGGCTAGAGAAAGAACAATATATTTAATATGAATAGAAGATATAAGGAAACATTCGGCAGAGACCACGCCTGCATGGCCGAGCCATGCCACTCGATCAACTCCAGTCAATTCAATTTATTTATCGCGCCTTCTCCATTGTTAGGTATTTCCCCGAGTTAAATATTGAATATCTATTTTCTGAGTAGTCTCGTGTTCACAGCTTTGTGGATTGTGTGGCTATTGTCCAATGCCACTACACTACTCTCCCACCAGAATCAACGTGATGTTGGTTCGATACCAAATTGGATGGGATCGTCGCGCGCCGGAGGTTACCAAGAATTATAAGGATCCTCCGGGTATTGATAAGCAGAAAGATAAATCAAAAAGAAGGCGGCGGCATCTGGTCGGGAAATACATGTAATAATCTTAAAATATCTGCTTTCATGATTAACACGCTTAAAATGAAAATTTGGTTGAAGATTATTTGAACTATAAAAAATGGGATTACAATAATAATAATAGAACGATGCGTGTTAATAACTTAACTTATAGGCAGTAATTATTTTGTGTTTAGAAATATTAAAATAATGAATATTGTAGGAATGTTAATATTGGTATTAGTTTTGGTTTAAATTATGAAATCGAATAACGATTATGCCGGTAAGTTGTCCATATGAGTTGAATTCCAATTGCATCTGTATTAGTAGGCTAACTGAAGGAACAAAAGTATACCGTGGAGAAGAATTCCAACTAGTGTTCCAGTTAGTTTGATACGGTTTATTTAGTTACGGGGAGATTTTCTCAACCTCGTTTTTACTTGACCGTGATAGAATTTAGTAATACTACTAATACACATGAATGGTTATCAGAATAAAACTTAAATACATGAGTGATAATTATATGGATTTTGGACAGATAGCTAGGAAAAATCGTCAAACATGAGTGTGTTCGTAAGAGACATGCTCTAGACTCAATGTTCTGATCTGTAGCAGACTATTTATTTATATTTATACTTGCTGGCTGATTGGGCATACAAGTTAGTTGCAAGTATGCAGTTTATAATAAGGCGGAATACGATTTAATTGAGATATAGTGGTTATAAGTTATTAAAATTAGTTAGGCCTGTGTCATATTACGAAGTGATGTGGTGCTGCAAGATGAATTTAGCTAAATAAGTTTTTACAAGATGATTAATAGTGAGTGATGCTCATGTGATTATCAGGGAGAACATAAGTTGTAACCAGGGGGAGTACACTCCTAACTCATGTCTATGATGATGGCTTGAACCTTAGTCAGTGTTGGGGTAAATTCGACATTGATGTTTTCAGTTTGCAGGAGATTTGCTCGACTGCTTATACTGACTATTTGCATGCATGATTGTGTCGCTATACCATCAATTAGACTGACAAGGTTTTGAGATATTTACTGAATGAGCAACTGATAGAGAAACATACTGTAATCATCTGTGATGGATGAAGATACCAAGAAAACAACACCATTTAATGGTAACTATAGGTCAATTTGTTGACCGATTTCGTTAATAGTTTTATTAATTTTATCAGTCATATTACGTGATTGTCAAGTTATGACAATGCTTTATGACGATATCCTGAAACTATTAAATTTAACTAGTTATAGTGTTGACTGAGGATTAGTCAGTGGAAAAATAGGTATTGTTACTTTAGGTGATTCGAAATCATCAGAAACTTATAACGTTAAAGAATCCGAGACGCCTAATTCAATTATAAATTTCAATTCAGAAATATTCGTTTAGTGTTAATTTTAGTAGGCTACGGAGTTTTGATTTTAAACGTTTGTTTAGCCAACAGCTACCTAGGGATTTAGTTATTTTACAAGTGCAGTTGATAGTTCCTAAATTTTTAATCTTATTATCTAAAGTATGTTTGCATTTTAGGCTGCTACTATGATAAACCAATCCATAAACCCAAATATGATTAGCAACAACGACTATGGTGGGTTTATTGATAAATGTTAAAGGCGATTCAGATGATTTCTAAATTTAGAAGACATGCAGATATAGTGTAACGTATGTACGGGCCACGTTAACATGCAGGTTGTTGACGTATATAAAAATTTAAAAATAATGAACATGACCAGGAAAAGTAATTTTAAAGTCAAGACTGCTTATGAAACTTCAGGCAAGAATGTAACGCGTTATAAACATTCCATAAGAAGTTACTGCATTTAGCCTAGGGACACTTACAAATATGTGGCAAAAGCAACTGGAAAGCATATACATGTTAAGTACAAAAAATCATTAAGTAAAATAGTTGAACTCGCCTGGATTATTTTTGAAAATTATATTATCCAGTGGACGACATATATAACGCCATTCGTGAGTAGTAATGATCCAAAAGTATCCAGGATAAAACATGCAGTATGGCAATTAATTCCAGAGTCCTTGATGCTGTCGACGTTTTTGCCACTCGCTCGGATCAGAACAACCGAATGAATCCAGATAATTGTGCGGTCACCATTGAACGAGCCATCTAAAATGACCTTATGATTGCAGAAATCTTATGGCTGAAACTCACCGTATGTTTTTGGAGAAGTGTCATCCTTTTTGTTTGGCAATGGAACTCGAAAATTTGAAATTAGGCAGGCAGTGGTCGGAAGAAGAGATATTACAGGATAGTGCATAGTTTAAAACAGGATGAGGTAATAAGATAAGGAACACTGAATATTAGATCCAGGTAACTATTTAGTCCTTGCTGCATTGTTAGTCGATGTATATTTGCGTTATTTACTGGTCATGTTTGCTAGAGCTTGATGCTTAAACAAGCCTATGTCGCTGAAGCATGTAAATGCTATTAAAGCTTGTTAACGAACCATCAAAGCTAATTAGTTAATATAGACGACCAGTTTTTATTATCGAATGAGCTAGTAAGTTATGTGAACTAATAGATATAACATTACGATAATATATGTGACCATTAATCAAAGGACTATTAGAATAGTGGGTTTACAAAAATAAAATCCGATTGAGAAGGTTAAGGTGGAAATAAGGATTAACAATAATGGGTTGCGTTTCTTTAGTTGGGCTCACCAATGTAGAATTATGGTCTACTATGATATTAGTACTGCTCTAATAATAGACCTAATCCTAAACTTGTCGATTTGTCATGATATAACTGCCTAATCTATAAGATCTTACGTGGAAGTCACACCATCGACTACACCAACTCACTGTGTCGTATCAATTACCAATACATGATGTAGAACAAGGTTAGGCTAGAGAAAGAACAATATATTTAATATGAATAGAAGATATAAGGAAACATTCGGCAGAGACCACGCCTGCATGGCCGAGCCATGCCACTCGATCAACTCCAGTCAATTCAATTTATTTATCGCGCCTTCTCCATTGTTAGGTATTTCCCCGAGTTAAATATTGAATATCTATTTTCTGAGTAGTCTCGCGTTCACAGCTTTGTGGATTGTGTGGCTATTGTTCAATGCCACTACAAGCTAAGTTTATCTGTTGTTTTGGTCAGAAAAGAAAGACGAGGGCCGTAGTTAGAGTGAAAGGATAAATAGCTGTTGTCATATTCGTTTTCTAACAGATCAAATCTTACCCATTGCCAGGCCTTTTCAGGCCCCTTCGAAATATGCCACCGAAAACTACTAAAAAGTGTCCTGAATGGTGTTGTATATGTGCTTCGTCTGAATAGATGTTTTACTTAAATTAGCTAAATATAGATAATTAATTCTATAAACCTAAAAAGATATGGGCCAATACGATTTACAAATCAGAGGATGAACTATATTGTTCAAGCTTAATGACCATAGTCATTTGGAAATCAAAACATGGTTAACGGCACAATTGCAAAAACTGAACTTAGCTTCATACCTTTTTCCTTTATTCACTGTCAGTCTACTTCCAAAACAATCACTACTTTGGATATCATTCCAGCTTGTTATACAATCCGACATGATGAATAGAACTTATTGTCATGGATGAATTCGCGGCATAGTACAGTCTTTTAAAATTGAAAATTACATCACAATATGACAGTTTCACTGACTACATGAATGAAAACATGACTGTTATTTCGGTTCATGATACACTAAGTTGGTGTGACAATTTCGAGCATATTTACAATGGACTAAATCCATGGCATGCAAATGAATGGTGTGCGTTGCTTTTTCTTGACCACAATGAGTATCGGTAAATTCTTTGGCATTCACTGACCAGATTGCTGGATGATTTGTTTTGGTCACCGTGATATCTCACTATCCCTACCAGGTTATAAATCTGCCCATATAAGAAACATCTACACAAAAGAATGGGAAAAACATTAGTTTTTTGATTAAGATGCAAGGGGCTGAGAGACATTCGTATCATGACCTGCTACATCTTAGACTATCCGACCATCTCAACAAAGAGATAATTTCAGAGGGCCATCTTTACAACCTACGCGAGAGCCCTACAAAAATAGGTCATAAAAAGACTGATATTCATTTCGAGCACTTTTTAATCTCACTACCTACTTGTTACATGTAAAGCCCTCTTCAAGCTTTCTTGTCTACAGGCCCTTCTGTTGGAAATTGGATTTCGATCACTAACGATGTTGAAGTCGCGGAATTTCGTGGACCTGTGTTACCTCAAAATGTAGGGTGACTGTATATTTTGTTAAAATCTGGTATTTTTCTTACCTGTGAATAATCTATCAGGTAGTTACAAAGTTTTTCTCTACAAACAAATCTACGGTACTCAAAAATAGCTTGGTTTGTACTCTTTCTGTTGAGCTTCGTCGTTTTCAAAAATTAATAACGTTACTTAAATACATAATCTCCTTCCCTCATTTATAACAAGGATTGTCTGAGGATGAAATTTTCTATATCTATTCGTACCAAGGCAACAAGGAGCGAACGCAAAAGATCGACTGGTTTGTACAAGGTCTTGACAAATATATTGGATCATAATTCTAAATGAATTAATTTCAAAACGTTAGAGTCCCTGTTATCAAACAGTGAGCAGTGCATTAGCTTTGTTTCGATAAGTGTCTGTCAGATATCTTTAATTCAAATCGTTTGAATGGTGGTATCGTTATTTATGTTGCCATTATCTATCATGCCAGTATATTTCGTTTGTGAAGTGTTCTAATCACGCGTACACACTTTCTTATTGATCCTTCAACATAACTATATCATTATTCTATCGGGAATGTAATCTTACAGGATATCTATAAGCATTAGCAAACAGAGTTCCTGTTTCTATTGTGTAGTTCGTTTGTTTAGTATTTCTTAATATTTATTTGTTTACTCATATTTAAACACATACCAATTGATACTACGAGGAAACAAGCATTTATGCGCCGTATAAATAATTCGATTAGTGTGAGGGCTAGAATACTTCCTGGTTGCCCAAATCAGAACAAGTGCTTTTCTTAGGGGGCCACTTCCCGGGCCTTTGACCTAGAAGTCTAATCCACAAGATAGTGGAGATGCAGTCCCATGGTAGCCGGTGACTAACGATTGGTTCATATGCCATTTTTCCCTTCAGGATCCTGGAGCCCATGTGCATCGTTGATTTGGAATCAGGGTTTTCCAACTCCCCTATGTGGATACTCCGTATTCGCCAACCCGGTTAAATTGCCGGACGTTCGATTTTCATCCTCCCAATCACGTGAATAACATCTCACCGCGAGAAGGCAGTGAGTAGAGATTCTATGGCAGTGGATGTATACGCGTGGCACTGTGGGAGCATTTCGAAAGGGAGAGCTGACTCCCTCCACCCTCGGTCATATCAGGGCGTTTGGGGGCTCTCCATATTAGTTTCTTTTTTTTAACACTTCAGCATAACTGTTTCCTCCGATTTTTTGGTGTAAATAGTATATAAAACAGAATCGTGTTGCCAAATATGTGGAAAAGCTCCTAGTTTTGATGTCTGACACTTGCATTCTGAAGACTACTGATACTACATGGCTATCCATACTTATTTCAACCATTAAGTTATAAGTTCAAAACCCTTTCACCCTACTTCAATTTGTATAGCCGATTATTATTGCTGATTCAAACAAAACGATTTTGAATATAATGGAGTACACTAACTTGATATCGTTTGCCGATTTTTATTTTTATTTATTGTTTTGGACTCAGTCAAAAAAGCACATGGTCCAGAAAAGACTTGTATCGGTTCAAGACGCATCATTTACTCTAACACTACTAGAAAAAATCAATAAAAACTTCAATGGCATTAAGAAAATAATATTTAGAGAAGTTTCAATATAAATAACTGCTTTAGTAGCTCTTCTAGGGCTACTCCCGGTTTCAAGCCCACACAAAGAAGAAGGGTTGGGTTTGGGGTCTGCAAACATGAACCGTAGAGAACAATCTTGCTAAACAAGTTAAACCATTTAAACTCTTTTAGTTGAAGGAAGAATTATAACTCCTCATGATGGAAGCCGAGATTCTTCGGAAGTCACGAGGCCAATGTTTCTTCTAACAACCAGAACAACAATTTTTGTAGATACATGGAACGTCCAGACAACGTAAGAAACCGGGAGGATCAGTCAAATGGCAACGGAAATGAGGTGATTCAACTTGGTGGTTCTCAGATTCAGCGAAACTCATTGGATCCAAGCTAGGCAGCAAAGGTTAGGTACGGAAGAGATGCTGTTGTATTCCGGTCACGAAGAGAAAAATACTCCACAAACTCTGGGAGTTACTCTGATACTGCCCAACGAAGCACGAAATACACTTATAGGATGGGAATCTCATGGACCCACGACCATCAAAGCATCCTTCAAAACAAAGAAGGAGCGAATTACAATGAATGTTATCCAGTGTTATGCACTCACCAATGATGGCAATGATGACGATGAAGATCAATCATATTTGCATCAGGAAAAACATCACAAGGTCAATGGAAGATGTGAGAACCAGAAGAGGATTTGAAATAGCCTCAGATTACCACCTAGTTGTGGCCAAGATGAAATTGACGCTAGAGAAGCATTGAAAAACTGAACAAACAGCATCACAAACGTACAGTAAGCCTTTCTTCGAGATACTGACAAACTGAACGAATTCAAGGTAACTCTTAACAACAGGTTCCAAGCCTTACAGGAGCCACTGAAGAAGAAACTACTATGGAGAGCAACTGGAAAGGGACCAAAGAAGCACTAACCTCAACGTGTCAGGAGGTCCTGGTCTGCAAGAAGCATCATCATAAGGAATGGATCTCTATAGAAACCCTGAACAAGATTCAAGAAAGGGAGAACAAGAAGACAGTAATTAACAACAGCCGAACAGTAGTAGAGAAAGCCACTACGCAGACCAGATACGCAAAAGCATAAAAACGAGTGAAGAATAACGTTAGAGTCGGGCATAGAAATAACTGCAAGTATGCTTCACGTTGGATTCAGGAAGATTCGGAGGAAAAACAAGTGCCACCGACAAACTGGAAAGACGGATACCTTATCAAGGTGCCAAAGAAAGGAGATCTGAGCAAATGTGAGAACTACAGAGGCATCACACTATTATCACTACCAGGAAAGGTTTTCAATAGTGTTGCTGAACCGGATCAAAGATCCAGTAGACGCCCAGTTTTGAGATCAACAGGCTGGATTCCGTAAGCACCGGTTGTGCACAGACCAAATCGTGACACCACGGATCATCGTTGAACAATCAATCGAATGAAACTCGTCACTGTACATCAAACTCCTTTATTATGAGAAAGCCTTCGACAATTTGGATAGGATGATCTTATAGAAACTTCTTCCACACTACGGAGTACTTGAGAAAATGGTCATCATCATCCGGAATTCATACGACGGACTACACTGCAAAGTCTTGTATGGAGGACAGCTGGCAGACATATTGCAATAGCTGCTTACTCTTCCCCTTTTTCTCTCTTCTGGTGGTTGATTGGGTTATGAAAACCCCACAGCTCAGGGTAAGCACGGACTACCATGAACAGCTCGGAGTCAACTAGACGATTTGGACTTCATAGTCGACCTCGCTCTTCTATTTCATACACGTCATCAAATGCAGGTCAAGGCAAACAGTGTAACAACAGCCTCTGCATTAGTGGACCTCAAAATACACAAGGTAATAGTTGCGACCCTCAGATACAAAACGGAGAACACCAATGCAGTCACGCTTGATGGAATAACTCCGTTAGAAGTGGTAGATGAGAGGAAGACTAAGGCTCTCTAGGCCAAGAAATCTCATTAGTCCATAAATTCACTGGTTTTGTTTAAGTCGTTTCTGTAGGTGAACTATTTACAGTCAATATTCATGAGGGGGTAACTACATTTAATAAGTGTACTCAGTAAGTTTCATAACTTGAAATCAATCTTGCTTCACAATATTTCCCTCAAAGTCTTAAAGATTGTCTCATCTTTAGTCTTAGCTGGCCTACTTCGCTGTGTTATTTCAGTTCCTTAATATCCTTGATATTATTACTCATATTTCCTTTGTTTTGTCGATGCCCTTAGTTTGCGGAACTTCGAGGCACGTGTGATTATTTGTTCACTCACCTTGCGGGGGCACTAGAGTTTGTTGTGTGGCAGGAAACATCACAAATGAAAGAAAGTTGATAACCGACTTTTAGCACTTTGATTTTTTAAGAAATTAAGAATGTTCAGAATTGACGTAATTATGTAGGCAAAATAGATGGATTACTTAACTAATTTGCTGATTGTACTGACCAAAGATAACTTAAGCTCATGTAAGTAACATTTCAGTTCTGAAGTAAGTTGCAAGTGATGTGTTAAATCTCAATCTTAAAAATAAAATCATTTTATTTTATATTGCTCATTATAAGACATGAAAGATTTCAAGAGATTTTAGAAGTATCCACATACAGAATGCAGAAAAAGGTGATAATTTGTTTTAGTAGGAGAGCTCCATAGTTGAAAATACATGGATCTAAAAGTGTAATTGATAGGTAACTGAATGGAACAAAATTATGGTTTTATGTTTCAATATTCTTAAACAGAAGTATTCCAAAACTACTGTTTAAATTCACTGGATTAATAATAAGCTGACTTAACTTAGGTATACAGTGCCAGAAGACTTAAAAGTTGGCATAATCTGATATGAATGGGTCCTATTTCAGACCTGTATTTTAGGAATTTTTATCAATTTTTTCTAACTTTAATCCTCTTCATAGTATATGCTAGAAAAGTTTCGTTTCCTCACGTAGTACAGTATTATCAAAGCAAATACGTACTACATTTTCGATGTACATTAAAATATTTCACTGTTTATTGGATAAAAACATTGAACTAATTAAAATTACTGTAGAGGTTGTTTTTTATCAGTATTTTGAATTCTTAGTTTCGTTCACCGAAAATCTGCCCCGTTTTTGAGACCCATATTCCTCTCACTAATTCCTGCTTATTTATCTAGTACTTTTTACGTATTTATGTTGATTGTAACTGACTAATGTCACTTCGTTCTATTCTTTCTAAGGTTCCATGCAAACTATATATATTGAGGTGTTTTTCGCAGTAAGTTTATCTTTCCTAGTCATATTAAGTGCTATTTTATAAAATCTAGTATTTTTATTAGTAAGATTGCACTAATTTCGTTCAACCTTTAGACCTAGCTTCCAATCTCTTATCTGGTAAGCGTGAGATACATGTTTTGTAACTGACCGAATGTCATAGTGAATACAAGTTTAACTGCCTGTTAGAACAATAGCTAAAGTTTACGCATATTCCTAAAGTCTCTCAATCACATCAGCAACTCGGATCTTTGGACATCTAAGACCGACAACTTATTCCTTAGTGTTGGCAAATAAGTATCTCCGATAACATCCAGCACGTTTGATCCATGGTATAGCCACTATTGAAGTCTTTAATGTCGATGTCGTGATTCAGAACCCTGCCTGTAAAGTTCGCAAGTTTTGAAGCACCACGACTAACAGCTGAATAAAGAGTACAGCCATAATCCATGTAATCGTGCTTTTTCAGAAAGTTCCAACAATTAGCCAGCTGTTTTACTTTTAATCATGCTGATCGGTGCTACATATCACCGGTTAGCGAAATAACTAGTGCAACTGACTTTATTACTCGACAGTGTTAGCTATTGTGAGTATGAACATTTGTAATTGTTCTTGAAATCACTATACTTACGTTGCTTGATTACCACTACTACTTATGTTGACAGATATAAGTAGTATGTGACATCAATTAGAAGTGGAACGCCTGCCAAAAGAAGGTCGAGAGGGTTGAACGGGATGAAACAGAAAGGGAAATATAAAGGAATTGAGAAACGGAAGAATCGTGAGGTCTTTAAAGGACAATTGGTGGAAGATTTGCAATTTTGGTGGGTTGGGGGGGGGGATGTGGGGTAGTTGGTTAGAGGGGTTGGGGGATGGTTTCTTGTTGGGTGGGGGTGAATAATTGGAGGGGGGTGGTCTGTGTAGTGTAGTGTAGTGTAGTAGTAGTAGTAGTAGTAGTGTAGTAGTAGTAGTAGTAGTAGTAGTAGTAGTAGTAGTAGTAGTAGTAGTAGTAGTAGTAGTAGTAGTAGTAGTAGTAGTAGTAGTAGTAGTAGTGTAGTAGTAGTAGTAGTAGTAGTAGTAGTAGTAGTAGTAGTAGTAGTAGTAGTAGTAGTAGTAGTAGTAGTAGTAGTAGTAGTAGTAGTAGTAGTAGTAGTAGTAGTGTAGTAGTAGTAGTAGTAGTAGTAGTAGTAGTAGTAGTAGTAGTAGTAGTAGTAGTAGTAGTAGTAGTAGTAGTAGTAGTAGTAGTAGTAGTAGTAGTAGTAGTAGTAGTAGTAGTAGTAGTAGTAGTAGTAGTAGTAGTAGTAGTAGTAGTAGTAGTAGTAGTAGTAGTAGTAGTAGTAGTAGTAGTAGTAGTAGTAGTAGTAGTAGTAGTAGTAGTAGTAGTAGTAGTAGTAGTAGTAGTAGTAGTAGTAGTAGTAGTAGTAGTAGTAGTAGTAGTAGTAGTAGTAGTAGTAGTAGTAGTAGTAGTAGTAGTAGTAGTAGTAGTAGTAGTAGTAGTAGTAGTAGTAGTAGTAGTAGTAGTAGTAGTAGTAGTAGTAGTAGTAGTAGTAGTAGTAGTAGTAGTAGTAGTAGTAGTAGTAGTAGTAGTAGTAGTAGTAGTAGTAGTAGTAGTAGTAGTAGTAGTAGTAGTAGTAGTAGTAGTAGTAGTAGTAGTAGTAGTAGTAGTAGTGTAGTAGTAGTAGTAGTAGTAGTAGTAGTAGTAGTAGTAGTAGTAGTAGTAGTAGTAGTAGTAGTAGTAGTAGTAGTAGTAGTAGTAGTAGTAGTAGTAGTAGTAGTAGTAGTAGTAGTAGTAGTAGTAGTAGTAGTAGTAGTAGTAGTAGTAGTAGTAGTAGTAGTAGTAGTAGTAGTAGTAGTAGTAGTAGTAGTAGTAGTAGTAGTAGTAGTAGTAGTAGTAGTAGTAGTAGTAGTAGTAGTAGTAGTAGTAGTAGTAGTAGTAGTAGTAGTAGTAGTAGTAGTAGTAGTAGTAGTAGTAGTAGTAGTAGTAGTAGTAGTAGTAGTAGTAGTAGTAGTAGTAGTAGTAGTAGTAGTAGTAGTAGTAGTAGTAGTAGTAGTAGTAGTAGTAGTAGTAGTAGTAGTAGTAGTAGTAGTAGTAGTAGTAGTAGTAGTAGTAGTAGTAGTAGTAGTAGTAGTAGTAGTAGTAGTAGTAGTAGTAGTAGTAGTAGTAGTAGTAGTAGTAGTAGTAGTAGTAGTAGTAGTAGTAGTAGTAGTAGTAGTAGTAGTAGTAGTAGTAGTAGTAGTAGTAGTAGTAGTAGTAGTAGTAGTAGTAGTAGTGTAGTAGTAGTAGTAGTAGTAGTAGTAGTAGTAGTAGTAGTAGTAGTAGTAGTAGTAGTAGTAGTAGTAGTAGTAGTAGTAGTAGTAGTAGTAGTAGTAGTAGTAGTAGTAGTAGTAGTAGTAGTAGTAGTAGTAGTAGTAGTAGTAGTAGTAGTAGTAGTAGTAGTAGTAGTAGTAGTAGTAGTAGTAGTAGTAGTAGTA